CCATGGGTGTACCTCTGATTTGTTGGTATATTTGTCCATCAAACTGAAAATAGGTAGTGAGACAGAGGTTGATGAGTGATTCTGGGTATTTTGATCTTGGTGTATTTGGTTAGATCGAGTGTGTTGTGTAGTACTGCTGACATGGATTCTTTCACTAGTTCTGGGTTTATGAATGTAAAGAGTGCTGTGACATCAAATGAGACCAACATTTCATCTTCATCTATTCATACATTTTTTTTATTTTCTGGAGATACTGTAGTGGGGAATTGATAGAAAATTCGCTCCCCTCTGTGAGATGTCCAAGTTTTTTTGTCAGTTCTTTCACTATATTGTATGTTGGGGTCTCTGGTAACGCTACAATTGGTCGGAGAGGTATGTCAGGCTTGTATATTTTAGAGAAAATGAAAACTACATCAAATTGCCCCAGTTCTGTCCTGAATCAGTAGATAGACCTAATATTTATATTTATGTTTATAAAATCAGTATCAATGTCATACCATCTTTTGAAACATATATTACCTGGTGATGTGCTTGGAAAAAAGAGGTGGTTCCATCCCTTTTCCTTGTCTACATTATTGAAATTACAGGTAGGAGATTTTACTTCAAGTAATTCTGTCAACATTTCTTTCTCATGGATGAGCAGTGGAGTTTGTTCATTTAAGTCACAGATGTTTTGAAGACAGCCAATTGTTGATTTCTATTGTTTATCATGAAGAAAAATAATGTGAAATAATAAATTCAGAAAAGATTGAACAAAAACTAACAATGAAACAAAATCTTCATTCAAATCCTACAACAGATACAGGTAATTCCTAGAAAAAAATATAGGTTCATATGTGAAATCCAGTTTGAATGAAAGGCAATGATGTCTTATCCATCCTTTAAATCCCCATTTACCTTCCATATTTGGCTGGGGAATCCCTAATCCTCTGGAGCAGATTTTGAGAACAAACAGAATTCCAGTAGTACAATACCAGATTCTACTTATATATGCAGTAAATGGAGGAATATCTTTATTAGAAACACAAAAAAGGTGTCAAAAAAGCAACTCTGTTGCCCACCAAATGATCCACTACATAGTAGAAAAGCTATAAATACTATAAATATTTTAAATGTATAAACTTGATAATTTGGTTTTTGATCTTTCAGTAGTACTAACAAGGAACTATCTTATTTGAAATAATTTAAAATAATTTATTCAATAACTTCTGTTACATTTTATTATATCATTAAACTTCACAGGTTTCATCAGACATGCATCAAGGCACTGCCTTCAAGGCAGAAATAAATGATTTCTCAATGTTCATGTTACTATTTTCCCACTATTTTTGAACTATACTTCATCAATACTTCAAACTTTGTAACTCATTTATGATAACTTCTTTCACAATTCAACAGCTTTTTTGAATTCAACATATCCAACATATGCTTAACAGGGAGCACACTAGGGATATAAAAATGTTTTGGACTGGAACAATCTGGCCCTGGGACATCCCATTTTTCATTTTGAACAGGCTAATTTGTACATTGTGGAGTTAGTTTGTGCACTTCTACAAGTGGACTGTTTCAAATCAGAAGTGGTCCAAGGATTAAAAATACACACACAAACAGACTTGAACTAGTACACCTATAGCTTTCTTTTTTAAAAACAGTTTTCCACTTCTGCCAGAGCCTATTTAGAGCCTAACTAGACAAAAATACCCATAGTTCAATATAATTTACTAGCTCTCATTAGGAGCCAGTATCAGCAAATCCAGTATAATACACAGGAGGAATATGATAATGCTTGCTGCACTGAACAATCAAAAGCCAACTATAATTGCTTCTTTATGTTTTCCAGTTTTAAAAATTATTCTGAGAAAGTACCATGCAGCAATTTTAAAAAAGGCTGCAAAAAAGGCTGCAAAAGTGTTAAATACTTCACAAAAATTCCAATTGCAAATGCATTGTTTTTATGCATAAGTACATACTATATTGTTATACATATGTATATAATATTTCCCAGGATTATAATATAATCAAAGATATCCAAGAAACATATGAAACCATAATATATTTTTGAAGGATTCATTTTGAAGGAGCAAGAAATGGGGGGGGGACCTAATAAAAGGATATTTAGTTGATGTGCATATAAATTCTGAGTCATTAAAATAACATTTCAATATCGTTTATTTCATTAAAAAAGTAATGAAATATACAGTATTATGATGCTGCAGTACCTACTTATTAGAAAGAATTACAAGCCACTCAGGTAGAACAAGAAAAGAGGCAATTCATATATAAAGAATAATAATACCTGTCCAACATTTTTATCAAGTTCTTTCATCTTGAAGTGGTCTTCAAAAGTTGATGTAAAAAATTCAAAACCCTCATCTAAGGGTACTTCATTCTAAGAGTGAAAAAATAACATAGCTGAGTAACTGTCAATCGATAATACTAGCCACAGACCAACCTTTTGTTCTCTCCTAAACTATATTTTCTTTTATTTGTCCTCATATTCTTTTACAGCATCAATTACAGCTCAGGTGCTATGCTCAATTTTACAGTAGCAACCATCCACTCCTCAGTGAAATATTGTTGTTTCAAAGATGCATAATTCAAGCTATTTAGGCACTTTTTCATATCCATTTGTTAATTAAACAACTGTCATGAAGGTAAAATTTGTGATCTTCCAAAATTTTCTGTACTGCTAAATCTTTATCATTTATTCCAAAATCTGCATAAACATTGAGATTAAACATTTTGAAATAACATTTTGATCCATTCTTCCCCACTTTAAACAATTCTGGGAGTATATAATGGAGAAAGAATATAAACCTCCTGGCAATGCTTTGGTTTAGATCAACATAGAACAGCACCCCCAAAATAATCAGTTTATGTTCACAGGGCAAAAACATTATAATCTGAAATTATAATCTGAGAAAATGTATAAGTATGTATAGCCTGCTATATTAGCTTCACACTGATTCAAAAAATTTAAATTGCACAAAATGTTATTTAAAACTAAGAAGCCTATTTTATTTTGATGCATACAAGCAATATTTCATAATCATTCAAACAGTTATTGTTTGAAAAATTAATGAACGTAAGCAAAAGGACTCCAGTTTAATACTAAGAATACCTGATATAGGAAAAGTTGTTTCCAACCAAAGAGAAAACATTCTGACAAATTCCACTAATGATCAGGTCAACACAAAATTGTTCACAAAAAATAATTGTGCCTGTGGCCTGACATCCAAAACTACCTACCAAACAGAAACTTGAAACGTGTAGCTACAGAGACTGAAGATGCCACTCATCTACTGACCCTTCACCTTCTATTCCTCTTTCAGGCAGGAGATTCCACTAAAAAATAATTTAAAACTAAACTATTGCCTAACCAAACTTTACTTCACTGTAAAAATAAAGTTTAAAAATCCAGGAGTCAAAACTTTTGCCACCCTAGCCAACTATAGTCCAAAATTAAGTATCTATTATATTGGTTTCATAGTATTTATTTGTGTGCTTGCTGGTAAGGTTGATGGAAAATACACTCATTACTAATTACCTATTTTCCATGGCACCACCAGTTCTGGGAATGATTCAGATGATTTGCTGTTTCAAATCTGGCAATCAAAATTTAGATATTTAGGGCTATTTAGATACTTGCTGAGACAAAAGAATGGAGAAAAAATGCCAGCAAGTTAATTCAGCTGCTATTAATTTTTTGCTATTTAACTTTTTGTTGTTACATTTGACAGATTGAAATCCATATTTAGCTTTCTACTGACATTACTTCAAAAGGCCTTTCCTATTTTTTACTGTTGACCTCCCAGATGGCATACAATTTGTATTTTATTAAGCTTTCTGCATCCTCCATGATGCATGTCCCAACAGATCTAACTTTAAAATAAGTATGAGTTTGAAAACTGAAGCATGAAACAGAATACAGGTAGTCCTCAACTTACTACCATTCATTTGACAACCATTCAAAGTTACAATGGTGCTGAAAAAAGTGACTTGCAACCAGTCCTTGCACTTACAACTGTCACAGCATCGCTGTGGTAACAACTTTTGGAGTTGTTGGAGTGAGGCTGATGTGATCAAAATTTGGGCAGTTGGCAACCAGTTGGCAACCAGCATAGTTGCAGCATCCCAGGGTCACGTGACTGCCATTTGCAACCTTCGCAGGGGGCTTCCAACAAGCAAAGTCAATGGGGAAAGCAGGATTTGCTTAATGACCATGTAATTTGCTTAACAACATGGCAAAAATAGTCGTAAAAAGTCAACTTAATGACCGCATCGCTTAGTGACGGAAGTTTCGGCCTCAATTGTGGCCATAAGTTGAGGACTACCTGTAGAAGAACTTTGCTAGAAAACACTTTTTCAAAAATCAGACTGGATTTTAAAAGGAAGAAAAACATTATCAGGTAGAGTACCAAATATGGAGCCATATATACTATTTTACAATGATTTTGTAACAACAGAAGTAGAATAAGTAAAGTAGCAAAACATAGTGCTTACATGCAACTATGCCCTGTTTGGAGCTGGTGGCTCACCAGGTTTGGTAGTGAGGGAGACATTTGATACCTATACTTATCCTTAATATGATTACACTCCCATCAAGTATTAAATAATTTCCCCCCGTTGTCACATTAAACATTACAATTTGGTAACAACTTTGGAGGTCTCAGTGAGGCTCTTGGGGGTAGCATACGGTTCTGGGATCAGGCACTAAAAAATTAAGTTTTTAAAGTTAAAGAGATTAGAGCCACTTTGATTAACTAGAAGCTCTCCCAAATTCAAACTTCTGCTGTTTGAAAAAAAAATCCTCCTATGCAATATGCAACTTCTCTTTTTCTTTAGAGAGATTGTAATTGTAAGTCACACCAAAATTCGAAAAAGGGAGATGTGCATTATCTACAGCTATTTTCCAACCAGGTATCAGTCTTAAAACTCAAGTACCGGCAAATATCTGCAATTCATTTGCTTTCATTTTTTTCTTTATGTTCCACAGATCCAACGAGTTATCATTTTCTCTCCCCATTGAAAGCTCCTAAAAAGTATAGATACATCCCCCTTTTTGTTATATTTGTATTCCTGTAATAAGATTACAGATATATTATGTTTGCACAGATTATATAGAACATCAACATTAACTTTTAACTAAACTTGAATTAAAAAGAAAGGATCACTCTTCTATTTATGTAAGGCAGTACTGTCTGAATTACATGTTCTGCAAAACTGTCTTTCTCATTATTAACTTCCTGAAACTGAACAAAAACAACAGTTCATTACTCTCGGGAATCTATTTTGTAAAGTTTTGTTACCTCAGCATTTACTTCTTGTTTGTTCTGAAATCCTTTGGCGGAAGAATTTTGTTTGTAATAAAAATCTTTTTCCTGCGCAGCCTAAAATAAATGTTACACTGTATTTAGTATACTACTTTTAACATATACATTAACAACCAAAAAGATCACTTACAAATTACTCACTACATAACTACTTTTTTCTGGGGTACTTCAAATGATGTTGAGAAGGTAAATCTTTTAAATTAGATTACTTTTTTTTTCTTTCATAGAAACATAAATAAATATTCTGCATTTTTTCATTTGATTGCTGAATTACAAACCAATTAAAACTATCACCTTGACAGTTTTCAGCTTTTCTTTTACTCTGTCCCGTAATGCTTCAGTTAATGTATTTTGTTCTTCTACTTCAGCCACAACTAGAATTAAGAAAGCATGCATATTCAGAATGCAGTTTGCAACAGAATTCTTTCACAATCTCTGTAGAACATAGATTATATTGTTAACAGTAAAAAGCATGACTAATCTTTTAGTTTTTGAAGCTGTGAAATGTTTGAGTTCTGTATATGAACTCCTACACAGACACAGACTTAGCACATTTGCTACTAAAAGATACAAATTTCAAATGAATATATATTTAATAGGATTGTGCTCTGATTCAGCCTTGAACCAGACATGGAAGTTTCTGACTGCCTTGTCTGACTCAAAATCCCCATGGAGTTCCACCTCTAATATTCATGAGATCATGAGTTCATGAGATCAGCATGCTGGAAAAGATGGGATGCCATGTTTGCACCAAAAATTAGGGCAATGTTTTTAAATAGTAATTTCTGACATTTACCCATGTTGTGGGGAGAAAGAGGTATATTGGATCCAGGGATCAACAGGTCTGTCCACAAATCAAATTGAGCTTTATAATATAACAACCCAATCCACAGTTTTTTTGGACAAGTGGTACTTCATGGGGGTATAGATCTAAACAATTGCCCATAATTGCTTCTGCTGCAATTACACTTTAGTGTTTGCATTAGTATACTGTACTGGGCAGTGTTGCCCCATATTGCATTTTAGTCCAATTCAGTTGCCTTCTATCTTTCAAGAATCATTTAGAAGTCATTGTGCTACTAAAGGGAGATGAGGCAGAGATGGAGGTAGTAAGGGAAAAAAATGTCTGTGGCTTGTCATGGGAAAAACTCACGTTTTCCTGCCCCTAAAATTAAACAACCAGTATTTGGTACTGGTATCCTGCATCCAAAGAGTGTAGAATTCTGGAAGATGCAAAGAGGATAATGAACTATTTGACCTCATTATCAGTCAAATAGTAGCTCCAAAGGAAGTACAATAGAATCTCAGAACTCCTCCATCTATGGCAAGGATGCTTAGAATTAGCCAGTCACCCTTCACTGCTCTACAGTTTGGAGTTATTTAATTAGGGTTTCTTCCATGAGTCAGATAATTTATATACAGTCTCAATGTAGTTTTTTCAGAGGACCATATGATAGATAAATGTCTGGAAGGAATAAATCTATCAGCTTTAAATAAATAAATAAATAAATAAATAAATAAATAAATCAATAAATCAATCTATCAGTTAATCATCATGTTATAGACATTTAGAAAAAGATGGAGCAGCATAGTCTGTAGTTGGGAATTATATTTTTGCTTCACTTTCCCCTATGTGGAATTTCTCAAGAGGAGTTCTCCACACACGCAAAGCTGAAAAAAGGAGCTTAACAAGAAGTTCAGAGACTCTGGTGACCTAAGTTAAGAATAGGTAATGGAAGAGCATGAAGTCACAAACCACGTTAACTCTGCAGCTGGTAATGTCTCTAAGTTTCTAGAGAATTGGAATGGGGTGAGGTCTTCCACTGATGACTCTCCTTCAAAATCTATGTTTCATAAATTCCCCAGAAGGCCAGATTACCAGCCAAGCTGCAGTGATACTAGTTAAACTACAATAAATTAAACAATTCACATAAAAGTTATAAAGTGTATAGAAAGAGAAAAAAGAATAGTTTTCTAGTAAGCGTGAATGGGCAACAGAGTAGAAGGAAAGTTGTCAGATCTAACAGCTGGGACAGTTACAGAATCAAAAACTTTCTAGAAGGGCAAAGGTATTCCATAATGGCCCAGCTACTAACACTATTCCAATAGGAGCTCCAGAAGGACAGGGCAGGCTCATGACTGCTTCATGGAAAAGGTGAAGAAGTAAGGGAGAGGGGGGCATCTGTATATATACATGAGTTGGGGAAGCAGGAACCACTAGATGTTGCTCCATTTCCCCCAGGATATGCCCAAATTACCGCTTTGGTAGTAATTACCCCCAGTTTAAGAACCACTGTTCTAAGCAGTAAAATCAAATAGAGTAGCAGCACTGAAGAGACCTTTTTTTCAGCCTTATTTGGCAGAAGTCCACTCACAGCTAAATTTTGATATCATAGATAAAGGAATAACAAAACATTACAAATTGTTTTAATGTTACAGTTAATGTTGCGATATCTCTAGACTGTTAAGAGTGGAACACTGTACTGTGATAGCTGAACATTTTCATTTTTCAAAGTGCAGCTTCTTTCACTCTGATTTTCTCTAATAAAGTTTCAAAACTGAGAAGAGGTCAAGACTGGGTACCTTCCCAGGAAGAACTTTTTGTTAATATTGGAAAGAATGCATAAAAACATAAAATGAAATGGATGATACTTAAACTGAAACCCAGTTTAAGACACAAAATTTTCCTAAATTTTATAGTGATACTATCCAACCCGGTAGAAGATAAAACACTGAATTACCTTTCTGTGGAGTTTGTTCTAGGGCTTCTATTTGTATTTGTAAATTGTCTTCAGTTTGCTAAATTGAATAAGAGAAAAATTGCTAATAAACTATAAGAACTACAATCCTATATGACTGACCGACTGATTGATTGATTCAATTGATGATGATCCCATCTTTCCTCCAGGACTCAAGATATGTACAAAGCACTCTATTTTCCAGTTTTTCTCCATTTAAATCCTGTTATTTCTCACTATTATAGGCTGACCTCAGATTCAAATATTATGAGAGCAAAACAATTATCTCTGTCCGATTTCACCATATTGTTAATTGTTTTAGAGACCCCTATTGTGTCTCCTTTAATTTATATATCTTGCGTTGCAACTTTTCCTCACCCCTACAGCTTACTGAACATTTTGGTTGCTCTTTTTTGCCTCTTTTCTATAATAGAGTTATCGAAGTTCATCAACCAAAACTGTTCACAGTAGGGTTACACTGTGTATTTGTAAAAAGTCATTATAGTGTTGGGAGTTTTATTTTTCATTCCTTCAGTTCCTAATCATTTTTCAACAATTGCCACAAACAGTCACTCATCTCAATTCCCATTAGTTTATATGTGTACATCATCTTTTACAATTGCTTACATTGAATTACATTTGCCATTTTAACAAGTAGTATTTAATATTTTTATTTGATATATTCTTATACTTAAGTACAGTATAAGCCGAGAATAAAAATCAGCAATGTAGTATAACAAATATACCTCCCCCCAATTTTATTATATTACTTTGAAATTATTCACCTATGCTTTTTTGTTTTTATCTTTCAGCATAGATTACAATCTTCCGTAGATTGGCTACTTGCTCATTCCTAAATTAAGAAGTGCCAGTCCCAACATGTATCTTAGGGAAATCCATATAGTTCCCCTAGCATAAAAGCTATCCATTGTTATTCCTCTCTGCTTCCTGTTTTTAACCATTCTACAACTGGAACAAGGCTAAATATAACTTGCAATGTTTTTGTTGTTTTGTGATTGACTTCAGAGTACAAAATCAGTATACTTAATTTAATACTTTTTAAACCACCTCTTAATAAGTTCAAAGCAGTTTACATATACATTTTTCATGAAAATATACAGATAAAAAAGTGAGAGAGAATGCTGTGAACCTAATACAGAGGCATTGTCTAAAAGGCAATTTCTGAAGAATACCCAAATGTTTGCTTCAATAAAATAGTACACTATATTCTAATTTAATATGGATGAAAGTACCTGATTTCTAGTACTTACTTCAGGTAAAGGGTTTTTTTTCTTTGCAAGTGTTTCCTGAACTTTCCTTTTCTGAATAAAAGAAAGGAAATTGTTAAATCCTATCTGCAAGGATATTAAGCCACATTTGAAAAAAAAACCCTAAACAAATGGATAAAATCACATGCTAATTACTGTCATTATTTAATCTAACAAATTATCTAAAGAACAATTATATCTAATCATTAGTAAACTACAGTTAGAAAATAATGTAAAAATATTTGTCATAACTTGCCTCAGTTTTATTATCTAGTAATGTTTCTAAATCTTCATCAGAATCCATTTTATAAGTTATTAAACTGAAAAATACAAAATATAAAAATATAAATATTTACAAAAATGTATGTACATATCAATATAATTTCACCTTGACAATCAATAAAAATTAATATACAATTACTTTTGTTAAAAAGAAATTGGTTGGGACTATGATTTTTTACACATATTTATGTTTTAGTATAGTTCATTCTATTTTTCTGATTGTACAGAAAAGTTATTTGAAGAGTTCATTGAGGGCAGCTTGTATTTAGGTGGAATTGTGCTATGGCATGTCTCATATTACATCACTGCTATGCAACATTTAGTCTTGTTTTAAAATTCGAAACAATTTTTGCAATTTTGGGGCATTGTTGTTTTTGCAGGATTTTTTTATATTTAATAATCTAAATATAAATTTACCTGACTTAGCTTTTCCTGAAAAAGATACAATGCTGATTTAAGCTCCATGCTTTGAATACCAATAATCTAGTTGTTAAAGATATTAGAAAATTCTGAAGTGCCAGAAAAATGTGGCAACCAAAATTTTCTTCAATATTAAAATTATATCATGGTCTACATGAATCCAAATCATTTTTATGAAGGTGACATCTGTCAACACACTTAAGACAGCATAACTTTAAGATTTAAGTTGCATTTGTTTTTGCTAAAAAATGTAAGTACTATAGGAAACCAGATTTATATAAAAACCTATTGTGCAAAAATCAAATAAGAGTAGTACAACTAACTACTATAACATTTGTGAGAACAGTTTTGTTATATGAATTATCAGCCAATTCTTCCCATAAAATGTAGATTAGTGGCATATGTATCAGTCTACAATATCAAAATGATAACATATATATGATGACATACGCAAATCACTCAACTTAGTACTTACAACATTTTTCTGTTTGCCTTATGTACCAAATCAAGCAAAAAGAAAAAGAAAGAACAGAATTGTCTGTGGTTGAAAATACCACTCTCTCTAAATCACCTTACCTAATGATGGGAGGCTAGAAAATAAGTTATCATTGCCTATCTCTGAGGAATCTAGGACAGGCTTTTACAGAAGAAATCTAATAACTGCATTCTTTAAATAGAAAGCATTTATGATGTTAACTAAGGAGTATCTAATAATCTCCCAGCTAGAAGTTATACACCAAGTTGGTCAAAGATCCAGACGACAAGTGGTGAAACATACCATCAGAAATCAGCTTATCCATGATTTTGGGTATCACAAATTGAAATTTATCCAGTGGCAATACACAAGAGGAGTTAGTGGAGACCCTCATAGCTGACTGTACATCAAAAGTGGCATCCAGAGTAGCCTGAATATGAGAGATTTTAACTACAAAAAATTCATTGAAAGCATTACAACAGAAAGTCTGAAGATTCTGTAATAGCATTTTGGGAGAAGAGATGTGAGTACAAGTCAGCCTCTCTCACAATCTGAAACAGCTTAGCATGCCGTGAGCTTGCAGATGAAACATGTATGGAAAAAGTCTCCCCTGATGCACCTATCACCAAAGTGATAGGTCTTAAAATGGGCTTTGATAACTAGAGCTTAGATGTTGATTGCTTTCTGACTGTCAAGCATCCATGTCCAATCTAATGCTAGGGTTGTTAATTTGAAAATGTCTAACAATTCAGTGCTACTTACAACTTATTAAGTGTGCCATAATTATAGAGTTGAATATGTTAACTGTAATTTATTTCAGAATAAAACAGAAAGTAATAGAAAATTTTCTTGCAGCCTGATCCTATGAAACTAAACCCAGTGAAAACTGCATTTAAGAAATGACTAATTTTGCATGGGATTTTACTCTTAAAGGCACCACCTTTCACTAGGGCAGTTACTTTAAAGAGTTTCAGTCAAGTGCTATGTTTGTAACTCTCTCTGAAGCACACATTTGGAATCAAATCCCAAACATTGCATAACTCCACTGTCTACCACTATATTGAGAACTCCTGTACATTAGAATATTCTTTTAAAATTCTTCCTTAAAGAACATACAGTACTAGACAACATGAAAGGCAGAAAAAAATTAAAGCAGTAGTGACAGAATGCTTTATGCAAGAATAGTCTTCCTCCTTGGTCTGAACAGCAAGGCAAAGGGCAATCTTGTAAGGGAAACATAAAAATTGGAGGGGGGGGGAATATGATGATCGATGGTATCAAAAGCTGCCAAGACACCCAGAAGGATCAGCAGGATCATGCATAGGAGTCCATTCCTAAGAACAATGATGCCATAATGACTAAACGTGCATTGGAACATCACAATTCAAACTCTGCTTTTTGTACTTGCATCACAACATTGCACGCAAGTACATAAAAGGAATTTGCATTGTGATGTTTTGTCACCTGTTGGGAGATGCATCTGTTTCCTGTGCAGACCATGTGGCAGAACAACCAAGACTCAGATCCAAAACCTGGCCTTACACCAAACTAATTGGTCTAGATCTGTGTTTCTCAAACTTGACAACTTTATGATGTGTGGACCTCATATCCCAGAATTCTTCAGTCACCCATGCTGCATTTGTTGCATTTGGTTTGGCTAGTTCAACACTATAAGTTGTTTTTGTTATTATGTATGTTTTTCTTTTCTAGATGTCTGTGATCTGTTTCTTAATTTTTATTGTTCCTTGCTCTGAAAGTGTAAGCTGCCCAGAGTCATTTGGAGTTGGCTGACCTCTAAAATAAATGAATAAATAAACAAGCAAGTAACATATGGGTCTCTTCAAGAAAGACTCCATTGTTCATCTCTTCAGGTAGCAGTACTACCTCTTGTCATAACAGAGGATTCACCAGTCTGGATCCATCCAAGTCAGTCTACCTCAGCTGGCTCATCAGCTCAGTCAGGCACTGTCTATATGCATCCAGTTCAAGCTGAAGATGCAGGGAGTGACAAGTTGGTGCTTCAATATTTAAGCCACCTTTCTGTTATGTACCTCCCACAGTGTTAAGATCTGCTAGCAGGACTCAGTTGTGCGTCCCGCCTTTTGATGGGAAGGTTTCTAAAGTGTGGCATTCCAATCATTAAATCCTTCCCCAGCAGATCTAGCTGATACCATCACCAATGTTGATTATACTTTGGTGCCAACTTCAATCTGATTGTTACCAAAAAATTGGGGGCGGGAGGTTGGGTCACTTAAGTGGGTCATAGTTGCTTTGATTGAACTCTGCCCTGAAAGCTGTAATACAGATAAGACATATTTTAATAAGTAAAATCTTCAGTTTGGCTTTTTATATACACCCACTACCAATATTCTATTCAGTTGATTACTTGTATTCTACTTCATATGCTGCCCAACTACGCTTAAGTTTTACGATTTAAAAATTGTTTTCCAATTTTTTTTCTAAATTGTTTAAAATAACCCAGACATATGGCATATGGAGTGGTCAGAAACAAACTGGATTAAGAATATGCCCAATAGATTAACTGAATAAAATGTAGTTATGAATTGTATATATGCTTAAGCAAGGACTGTAGCAAACCATTGCATACTTTATGTTTGAAACAGCCTTTGGTGAAAATTCCTTAGTTTTCTATTTTCCAGAATGGCTCAATGGTTACAAAACACTCTTCTCAAATATTTATCAGGACAACTGTACCATCATTTGAAATGCACTCCCTTTTATGGCTTGTTTTACCTTGTCTGGCCCCGATTTTTATCCTTCTACATTTGTCACAAGAAAAAGTATTCCCCAAAATGCTCAGCCCTCCGTTGAAATATGGTGAAAATATGTTGAAGAATGGTGAAAAAGAGCCCAAAGGCCACACTTTCCCCTCAGAAACAGGGGCTATTTCTTTTCTGCTGAGCCAGCACTGCTAGGCAGTCATCCCCGGCCGTGGCCGTTTGCCTCTTGCTGAGCTTAAGCGAAACTTATTTGAGTCAACTTCTAGTTTCTCCTCCTCACGACATCCTGAGCACGGGGGGGAGGAGAGAGAGAGAGAGAGAGAGAGAGAGAGAGAGAGAGAGAGAGAGAGAGAGAGAGACCGCTTCCCAAGAGATTAACCCCCCCCCTTCTCACGAGGCTCCGACCCGTTTTAACGCCGAGCCTGCGCACGAACTCTCCCCCGCCTGAAGGGGGCGGTGCCGACGCAGCCCAGAACAAAGCCCTTCCAAGAACCTGAGCAGATTTTTCTGACTCGGACCTCTTCCCCCGCCTGCGCGAGAACCGGGCAAACGGGCGCGCGAGCATGCGTACAGCATCCGCCGTAGTTGAACCGCCGATGGGCATGCGCCCGCTGGGCTGACGTTAGAGGCGCCTGCGCAGTTCAAAAAGCATCGGGAAGGTTCTCTGTTGCCGGGTCGGCTCGCTTTTGTCTGGAAAGAAATTCCTGCGTGAGGGTACGAGCTGCCACGTTCCTAACCGCCCGCGGCCTTCATCCCACCTCTAGCGTCTCGCGAAACTGCGGCTCGGTAGCTTCGCGGCCCCAAGAGTTCGGGAGTCGAAAGCTACCTGCCGCCTTGTCCGTGGTGGGCCAAAGCCATTCCCTGCGAAGAAGCAGCTGGGACTGTAGGGAGTCTCTGGCGCCCCGCGACGGGTTGGCTGCGGTCAGGCCGCGCCGTTCTTCGGGCTCGCGTTTGAAGTCGGCTGCCACGCGAGCGGTTTTGCCGCGCCGCCGTTGGAGGAGCGGGAGACGGGGCTGAGCTTTTCCCTGCTCCCCTGCTCTCCAGTTGTTTAATGTATTTTTAAAGCCGTAGGACAGCCGCCCTTCATGACTTTTCCCCAACGCTCTCGGCTCCCACCCCGTCGGCTATTTGGACGTGAGGCCAAATCAGAAGTGGTGATAGAAGACCCTCTTGTTTGCTGAAAGCGCGGTCTCCCCTCATTGGTGAGCCTGGTCTTTAGAACAGTGTTTTTCAAGCTTGGCCAC